GACGAAACCCGATGGAGATTGAACTGAACTCAAGGATAGTAAAATTGAAATTGAGTTTTTTTTTTCCTAAAAATTATTTTTCATCGATTTTATTTTTTCAGGTGTAAGAATGAAAACCTCAGAGATGGATTTGCTAATAAAGCCAAAGAAGCTAGTGCATCACATGACAAAATCTTCAGAATGTTCTAAATTTCACCTTCATACAATTCTGTGGCTAGCGGATGGATATTCCATTCGAAGTGCAGCGAAAAACTTGGATAGCATGACATGAAACAACCCTCCAGAAAAGATTAAACTCTATGGATGATGTAGACCATAGACAACAGGATTTACGATCCTACTTTGCTCAGGCTGTTTTTTCTTTAGGTCTATAAACCTAGCAGTCCCAAGGTGGAAAAAAACTTCGGGAACTATATAATAATTCGGTGCTTTTTAGGTGCTAATTAGGGCCTCTAATTTAAAATTAGGTGCTCCTTTAGTTTCTGAGAAAATCAAAAAAAACTAAGGGACTGCTAGGTTTACAAAAGCTAGCAGTCCCCTATAGTAAAAAATATTTTTTCAAATTTTTTCTTTGTATCAGAATTAGGTGCTTTTTAGGTGCTCCTGAATAGTCGAAGAAAAAATAGAATTGATTAATTATTAACTGAGTTACAGATTTTTTTTTAATTAAAATATTTTTTACTATAGGGGATTACTAGCTTTCATAAACCTAGCAATCCCTTAGTTTTTTTTGTTTTTTTCAAAAATCAGAGGAGCACCTAATTTTTAATTAGAGGCCCTAATTAGCACCTAAAAAGCACCTAATTATTATATAGATCCCGAAGATTTTTTTCCATTCTGACACACCAACATGTAAACGTAAATCTAGCAGTCCCCTTATAATTAAAAAAAAATCTGTAACTCAGTTAATAATTAATCAATTCTATTTTTTCTTCGACTATTTAGGAGCACCTAAAAAGCACCTAATTCTGATACAAAAGAAAATTTTGGAAAAATATTTTTTACTATAGGGGACTACTAGCTTTCATAAACCTAGCAATCCTTTAGTTTTTTTTTGATTTTCTCAAAAAGCAGAGGAGCATCTAATTTTTAATTAGAGGCCCTAATTAGCACCTAAAAAGCACCTCATTATTATATATATCCCGAAGTTTTTTTGCCATTCTGACACACCAACAAGTAAACGTAAAGCCAGCAGTCCCCTTATAATTAAAAAAAAATCTGTAACAGTTGATAATTAATCAATTCTATTTTTTCTTTGACTATCTAAGAGCACCTAAAAAGCACCTAATTCTGATACAAAAGAAAATTTTGAAAAAATATTTTTTTCTATAGGGGACTACTAGCTTCCATAAACCTAGCAATCCTTTAGTTTTTTTTTGATTTTCTCAAAAATCAGAGGAGCACCTAATTTTTAATTAGAGGCCCTAATTAGCACCTAAAAAGCACCTAATTATTATATAGATCCCGAATATTTTTTTCCATTCTGACACACCAACATGTAAACGTAAAGCTAGCAGTCCCCTAATAATTAAAAAAAATCTGTAACTCAGTTAATAATTAATCAATTCTATTTTTTCTTCGACTATTTAGGAGCACCTAAAAAGCACCTAATTCTGATACAAAAGAAAATTTTGGAAAAATATTTTTTACTATAGGGGACTACTAGCTTTCATAAACCTAGCAATCCCTTAGTTTTTTTTGATTTTCTCAAAAATCTCAATTATTATATAGATCCCGAAGTTTTTTTTTCCATTCTGACACACCTAAGGTTTCACGAGATTCTCGAAATTCGAGATTTCTCGTCTCGTCCCGATTTCGTGACGAGATCGAGACGAGAATGAATTTTTTTTTTCGAGACGAGATCGAGAAAAACAGTTCGAGATTTTTCGAGATTGAGAATTTTTTTCGAGAATTCTCGATCTCGAAAAACTGTCGGTTGGTGCTGCAATACCTTGAATATACAATGACGCTAAAAATATTTTTTACTATAGGGGACTACTAGCTTTCATAAACATAGCAATCCCTTAGTTTTTTTTGATTTTCTCAAAAATCTCAATTATTATATAGATCCCGAAGTTTTTTTTTTTCCATTCTGACACACCTAGGGTTTCACGAGATTCTCGAAATTCGAGATTTCTGAATGAATTTTTTTTTTCGAAACGAGATCGAGAAAAACAGTTCGAGATTTTTCGAGATTGAGAAATTTTTTCGAGAATTCTCGATCTCGAAAAACTGTCGGTTGGTGCTGCAATACCTTAAATATACAATGACGCTAAAGCACACACAATACACACTGCAACTTGCAATCTATCTAATATAATAATATCGTCAAAATAACATAAAGACGTAGTAGTAAGGGGTAGTGCTTCCCTGCACCCCGCTACTCCCGGGTCCGGTGCCCCGGTGGCTCTCGGTGGTCCTTATTTCAGCTCCGTTTAGACCGTTTATCGTTCGCAAGGCCATAAAATGTCATAATTTCAACCTTATTTCTATTGTATTATTCTTCAAAAATGTTAGTTCAAGCTAATATACAGGGTGAATTTGAAATAAGTGCGCATTCTGTTATGGTAGATAGAGTACAGTACGACGATCACTTTTTGCATAGGTACGGTACATGTGTCCGCAAACGTCTCGTTAAGAAAATACAGAGTGTTGAAATTTTCGGAAAATTTTTATTTTTTGTCTTTAGATTCAAAATGCCTTGAGCAATTTTGTGCAATTTTTCAAAGAGAGTTTGCAATGTTTTCAAACATCTTTTTAAAAAATTCGTTTGAGTTCCACTTTTCCTGGACTGGACCTAGAGCGACTCTTATTTTGTCAGAAAAAAACAGTGGTGCACCCCTGGGCTTTTTGACAAATTAAAAACTATTTTTTTGATTCCCTATTTAATTTTAAGCAAAAAAGGGAACCCGACTTCTGCTTGTTCGATGCGACGCTTACAAGATAAAAAATAGAAATCAATGTAATATTTGGAAAATCTCGTTGTTCAATATACTCCACTCTGTTCACATTACACCGGAAACTGAAGAACAATGAAGTTAAAAAAGGTTATGTCATATTATTATATCGCAAACACTCTCCGAAAATTTGAACAGAATCGCTCAAAGCCTTTTGAATCTAGAAGCAAAAAGTCAAAATTTTCCGAAAATTTCAACACTCTGTATTTTCTTAACGAAACGTTTGTGGACACATGTTCCTATACAAAAAGTGATTGGCCTACTATACTCTATCTATCATAACAAAATGCGCACTTATTTCGAACTCACCCTGTATAATCACTTTGTTGCATGCAGGTGCATTCTTCACGAAGAAAGAAAGAATTTTAAACTTTCGTACCTATCTAGGTAAATTCTAAATTCATGGCTAAAAGATGAAATTAAAAAAAGATAAAGGATTTGTCGAGGGATTTGTTAAATTTTTGAAAAAATATTTTTTTTTTTATGAATGGGCCAATAATCGTTTTTTTTTTGTGTAACATGTAGCTCTGTATTTTAACGTAATTTTTTTAATAGAAAACATTTTCCCCTTTCTTTTGGTGCAGACTTATGTATACCTATCTACATATAATATATTTTAATAACATTCAATTTTGTTTTCGAGACTCTCGAAATTTCGAGAATCTCGAATCGAGATCGAAAAATTGTATTCGAGAAAAACATCGAGACGAGATTTTGTTGATTTCTCGTCTCGATGAAACCCTAACACCAACAAGTAAACGTAAAGCCAGCAGTCCCCTTATAATTAAAAAAAAAATCTGTAACAGTTGATAATTAATTAATTCTATTTTTTCTTTGACTATTAAAGAGCACCTAAAAAGCACCTAATTCTGATACAAAAGAAAATTTTGGAAAAATATTTTTTACTATAGGGGACTACTAGCTTTCATAAACCTAGCAATCCCTTAGTTTTTTTTGATTTTCTCAAAAATCAGAGGAGCACCTAATTTTTAATTAGAGGCCCTAACTAGCACCTAAAAAGCACCTAATTATTATATAGATCCCGAAGTTTTTTTTCCATTCTGAAACACAAACATGTAAACGTGAAGCCAGCAGTCCCCTGATAATTAAAAAAAATCAGTAACTCAGTTAATAATTAATCAATTCTATTTTTTCTTGGACTATTTAGGAGTACCTAAAAAGCACCTAATTCTGATACAAACAAAAAATTTGAAAAAATATTTTTTACTATAGGGGACTGCTAGCTTTTATAAACCTAGCAGTCCATTAGTTTTTTTTTTGATTTTTTCAGAAACTAAAGGAGCACCTAATTTTTAATTAGAGGCCTTAATTAGTACCTAAAAAGCACCTAATTATTATATAGATCCCGAAGTTTTTTTCCACCTTGGGACTGTTAGGTTTATAGACCTTTTTTCTTTTCAAAATTTATCCAGAACAATCAAAGAATTTTTTTCATAAATCATTAAACAAATATTGGCCATTATTCAGTCCTTGATCTATGTAGGTAGGTACCTATAAGTAGAACTGTCATAGACTCTTTACTTCTACACGCAAATATTATGAATTTCTATCACGTCTTGAACAGCCATTGATTTTTTTAAAACTTTTTTCGTTATATACTTAAGTCTACTTGAATATATCACTAAAATCAAATTTACTCGCAATCGGTTTTATCAACTAACAACCTTGAGAAAACCTAAACTTAACTATGGGGCTTCGTTAACAAAAATTATCTTTCTCTTCCAAAAATCTATCAATAAAATTGATGTCATATCCAAGTTCCATAACTTTCTACCCCCCGTTAATCCTCCCCAGAGCCATAGCTAGACCGCAATTCCGTCCTCATTAATAAACTATTAAACCGAAATTATACCAATTATCCCCAATTTTCCTTACGTGTGTCCCTCCATAAAACGTTTATTAACATGGCTGGGTTAAATAATGAATCAATGTTTACCTCTTCAATATTTTATAGGTTTTTCCTCCTTTGTATCAGGAAATTTCTTTGTGACATGCGATAAAAGGTGGTACTTGTTTGCTTACCTCGTTTTTGTCGAGGTTTTTTAAATACTGATCTTGGAGCACTTTCTCGTGCAATGCTCTGGCTAAGGAGCCTCTTGGTCTGTAGCGAGTCCAAGAACTTGTAGAGTCTTCTTGATTGTGGTTGAGAATCCCATTGGCTGGACAAGTAGTTTCGCCGAGATTATTGGTCGGTTGACGTTGGCGACAAATGTTTGAATTTTCCATTTTGACCTACACATACAATGTTATAAAATAGTTCATATTGATAATGAAGTAGTTTTAGGACAGTAATTTTGCTCAATCGTTTGATAATGACTGCAAATGAACATCAAGATGACAATAAACCAAAAGGCAAATGGAAAAATGGCGTTCGTTTGTGGATGGTTAAAGAAGTCAATCCAGATTATGCTCAGAGCAAATATCAGAATGGCAGAGGCAGAGAAAGTCATGTATCACTAAAACGATGTAACTCTAGGATTACAGAATCTATCTCCTGGAAACTGTCGAATTCTAAAAACGACTCGTACAATGAAATACTGAAGATGATCCGTAATCTCAACTTCTTTCTTCAGAAACTCCTGAAATGGTGTTCGTTTGTGGATGGTTGAAGAAGTCAATTCAGGTTATGCTTTAATCAAATATTAGAATGTCAGAGGCAGAGATAGTCATGTATCACTAGAACGATGCAACTCTAGGATTAGAATCTATCTCTTGGAAACTTTCGAATTCTAAAAACGACTCGGAAAATCAAATTCTGAAGCTGATCCATAATCTCAACTTCTTTCTTCAGAAGCTCCTGAAATGGTGTTCGTTTGTGGATGATTGAAAAAGTCAATCCAGGTGATGCTCTGAGCAAATATCAGAATGGCAGAGGCAGAGAGAGAGTAATGTATCACTAAAACGATGCAACTCTAGGATTTGAATCTAACTCTTGGAAACCTTCGAATTCTAAAAACGACTCGGACAATAAAATTCTGGAGATGATCCATAATATCTCCTTCCTTCAGAAACTCCTGAAATGGTGTTCTTTTGTGGATAGTTAAAGAAGTCAATCCAGGTTATGCTCTGAGCAAATATCAGAATGGCAGAAGCAGAGAGAATCATGTATTACTAAAACGATGAAACTCTAGGATTTGATTCTAACTCTTGGAAACCTTCGAATTCTAAAAACGACTCGGACAATGAAATTCTGAAGATGATCCATAATCTTAACTTCTTTCTTCAGAAACTTCTAAAATGGTGTTCGTTTGTGGATGCTTGAAGAAGTCAATCCAGGTTATGCTCTGAGTAAATATCAGAATGGCAGAGGCAGAGAGAGTCATGTATCACTAAAACGATGAAACTCTACGATTTGTATCAACTCTTGGAAACCTTCGAATTCTAAAAACGACTCGGACAATGAAATTCTGAAGACGATCCGTAATCTCAACTTCTTTCTTCAGAAATTCCTGAACTGGTGTTTGTTTGTGAATGGTTGAAGAAGTCAATCCAGGTTATGATCTGAGCAAATATCAGAATGACAGAGGCAGAGAGAGTCGTATCACTAAAATGATGCAACTCTAGAATTAGAATCTAACTCTTGGAAACCTTCGAATTAAAAAAACGACTCGGACAATGAAATTCTGAAGATGATCCATAATCTCAACTTCTTTCCTCAGAAACTTCTAAAATGGTGTTTGTTTGTGAATGGTTGAAGAAGTCAATCCAGGTTATGATCTGAGCAAATATCAGAATGACAGAGGCAGAGAGAGTCGTATCACTAAAACGATGCAACTCTAGAATTAGAATCTAACTCTTGAAAACCTTCGAATTCTAAAAACGACTCGGACAGTGAAATTTTAAAAATGATCCATAATCTCAGCTTCTTTCTTCAGAAACTCCAGAAATGGTGTTCGTTTGTGGATGGTTGAATAAGTTAATCCTGGTTATGCTCTGAGCAAATATCAGAATCGCAGAGGCAGAGAGAGTCATGTATCACTAAAACAATGCAACTCTACGATTAGAATCTAACTCTTGGAGACTTTCGAATTCTAAAAACCACTAGGACAATGAAATTCTGAAGATATTCCATAATCTCTACTTCTTTCTTTAGGAGCTTCTGAGATGATTTTCGTTTGTAGAAGGGCTGAGCTGCCCTTTCAACATTTGTCCTAAGCTACACATGGAGTAGGTTGAAACTGGACCCAAGAAATTTGGGAAAAAGTTTAAGTGAAAGTGATTCCCAACCTCCATTGCTTGCACATAATTTTTTCAAGTTGACTAATTTGAAGAAATTTACCAGATTTAAACTTGAGGAAATTTCAACGAAATTCACGCAACGATACCATAGTCCAAATTTATTTAGCTGATTGCCATGTAACTCCGTTATGTTAGACCTCCAAAATTCTCTTCAATATTATTCCTAATCTATAAACGCGTGGCAACATAGCCACAACAGCTTCAACAGGATTTTTTTTTGAGGTTATATCAGAAAGCGTATTATTTTGGATTGTTTACATTAGTTTAAAGCATTTATTTACATTGAAATTACATTAAAATAAAACCCTAGTATACTTACAGTATAAGTAAATTCGATAAATCTCTAATTGAAGCTTGAAATCACTTAAATATCTACATTGTTTTGGAAAATAAACAATCAACACTGCGAAAGTTCACCTACCTATGAATGAACATACGACTGCAGCGTTGCCGGAGTGGTTTGTAACTTTTCCTAGGTGAGTATTTAAAGCCGGTTAGGTACTTCCAAATAAAGAATAAAATTGTACTGAACTATAATAATTGGGATGTAAAACCTTCAAAAGTTGATACTGTAATTTATTAATTAAAAATTATACTAAATTGAATTAAATTAGGTAATTAACAATAATTGAGGATTAAGATCCTTCTTCTTCGTACTCATTCGTTCAGGTTCAAAGGGGACATGGGAATTAGTTACCTATAAACCAGCTATTACACAAATTCTTTTGATAAAATTCATTAGTAATTCCTCTTCTTACCTAACACCAAAACTTACCCTTCATCTAATTTTTTAGGTACAGCAAATGTAAAATACAAATGAGCTTTTCCAAATTTCATCTTTTCGAATAATGAGCCTTCGTTGAAACTTGAGATGATTAAAGTTGACTTTAGTTAAGATTTTTTAGCTTTTCTGGATAATTATTGTTCGTTTGTGGGTCATAAGTCAGTTATCGTTTAGCTTGAAGAGACAGTTTCAGCTTCTTTTATCTTATATCTATTGCTTTATCTTAAAATTCAGGAGAATCATTCTATCTTTTTAGTTCAATCTCTGGATATTCTTCAGTTCGCAGGTCACATACTGCAGAGTCTAAAGAAATCCGGCGTCACTGTTGCAGTATCAGATGTTTGAGCATAGGATGGTTTATACGAGAGACGGTCGATAGTGAAAGTGCCGGCACGATGAAGAGAGTTTTAGCGTTCATTTATTGGGAAATTGAACTTGCTCTATCGCGGAATTGTTACACGGTTTGTTTCAAATCTAAGCAACTCAGAGTAGATAAAGAAGAATATAAACTTTTTCGACATTTTATGGAACAAAACAAAAAAGTTATCTCAAAATTTTCATTGCAGAACTTATCCAAATCGAAGCTAGGACAAATCTATTTTCAAAATTTCGCCAAGATTTTCGATTTCATTCTGGAGAACTAACATCCTTTTCAGGGCTGTTTAAAACGATTTTGATAGCTTACTGAATATTAAACATAAATTGTACTGAATCTGAAAAAATTGCACTGAACGGCGGCAAATTCAAAAATTGGAATGTATAAAAGTGGATTTATATAGATCTCAAAATAGATCTATGTAAAAGTGGATGTTGGATGAATAAATCTATATCGATGGAAGTTTTGTAATTTGCCTATAAATTTAGCTAAATAAGGTTAAAACCACATATATTCTAATATCTTTCGCTCTGCAATTTAGAAAATTCGAGGATGGTAAACTAAAACACATTTTCTTAATAGCTTTATTCCAACACGTCAAAAAACCGTACAATGTACCGTCACAATTCTGCGCAAAGCCAAAAATTTTTGCGTAGAAACCGAAATTTGCATACAGAATGGTTTCGAAACTGTTCATAGAACGGTTTTTGACGTGTTGGAACAAACCTTATTTTGGAAAATATAAAATATGTAACATAGATAAATGATAAAAATTAAAGTGAACATAAAAAAAAAACTATATATTTGTTTTGTTTATTGGGTCAACTCGGGATTCCCAAACACATAACCTAAATAAATGAACTAAAGCTCAACCCAGAGCACTTTGGCAGTGCACGAGTTCATTTGACTCAACATATCTGGGACGTCACGTTCTCTGTACTCTGCTAGCTCCGATTCAATAAATACATTATTTGAAGCTGAAGTTTCGTACTGAAATCGGCAGCCTTGATCCTTTTAAGTCGTACAAAAGATATGCCTATTGAAATCACTCGCTCACTCGCATGCGCGTTTCGCACATACAGGTGGATGTGGTTTTTGTTGGAGTACACTTCTGTGTTCTAGTGCAGTTCGCTACAGTTGTGCGAACAAACCACTGATGTGTGACAGAACTGACAGCAGACATGTTGTCGCAGTTGTTGTTTTTGGTTCGAGCTTTTACGATCAGGAAGTTCACATGGTTTTCTAAAATAAAAAGATAAATTGTGTAAACATTCGATATTTTATTTTCACTCAGGACCCTATAGTTCAATAGGTAATAGGTTATGGGCCCAGTTCTCGTGGAAGTCGCGGAAGTTTGCGTCGTATTGTGTTTATGAGTGAAAATTTGGAAAATTCAGTGGAAAAATTATTGTGGACATTGGAAAGTAAAATACCATACCAATTGCTGAAACATTACTACAGGAAGCATGCAGTATCCTAATGTGAAACCATTCGATGGTAAAAACTATTCGAATTGGGAATTTCGAGTGAAATTGTTGCTTGAACGATCTGAAGTTCTGGATGTTGTAACAGAGCCTGTGGAAACGCAGCAGGTATTACCTAATTACAAAAAGAATGATGCAAAGGCTCGAAACATAATCGTGCAGTGTCTGGCAGACAACATGTTGGAAACAATAAAAGATAAAAAATCAGCAAAGGAAATCATGGAGTCTCTAGAACAGACATATTTTAAAAAGGGGATATCTATGCAGATAGAGCTGCAGAGGAAGCTAAGGTCGATGAAATTTATGGGAAAAACCCAGTTAATTACATTCTTTACTGAGTTTG